GGAACAAACAAAATGACCTTCAAGAAAACAGACAACATCCTTCCGCGGTCGCCCTGTTACATGAATCAGCAGGGAAGAATTAGAAAAGGTGAAGAATCAGAACATACCATTCAAGAAAAGGAAACTTATTTAGAATGATAACAAAAATTGAGCTAGTACCATGCTTTTTGTTCTCCAGCTAGTTAAAATGAGATAACCCGTTCATACAAGAAAACAGAGACGCAATATGAACACACGGCAGGATTGACAAGTACACAGCAGGATTCAATAATTTTTTAGGATCGCAAGACACCAATATAAGCTAGAATTGACAAGTACACATCAAGATTCAATTCATCTTGCCCATATACAGCAACCAACAGACATCTAACATTTCATGTCATTTGGATATATAAAAAAGGTACTTCCTTCACAATGCTTCTAGGTGGACAAAAACTTTGGAAATTTGCCGAGGAAGATTTGCTAGGCAAGTGGAGCTGAATTTTGTCATGCGATAATGATTTGGATAGGAAAGAGTGTCCAAAAATTCCGAGGGCAATCAAGAATATATAAATAGCACTTCCTTCATAAAGTGCTGTCGTGAACAGAATAGGAAAATGAATATTGTTGAATTAGTTTTGAACTAGGCAAGGAAGGATTTTTACATATTTGATGAAGATATGACCCAAAGAATTTATGAGATTTTTTTGGGAATTTTGGGAATGACAGAAATATAGGTTGCTTCACAACCTAGGGCAAAAACTGCCACATGGACATGACACGTAGGCAAAACTGATGAGGTGGCGCCTAGTCATAGCAACCCACCACAATTTACAAGGTTATGACCATCTATATTGGTCATGATCAGCTAGAAATAAGGCAGCAGACCAGTTCTATCTGCTTTATGACCATTTTGTGTAAGGAAATTACGACTTTTTTGACGAAAATGGTCGTTATAGTTTAGGTTTTGGAGCCCCCCGAACAACTTTTGACCAATTGGTCTGAAATGGTCATAGATCTATGACCAATTCTTCCAAGGTCACTAACAGAAGGTCACAAGTTGACATATTTCTTGTAGTGAAGGAAGCCACGAGGCAGGGAGGCGGGCCCTACCCCCTGGGCGCGCCCCCACCCTCTGGGCCCCTTGTGGCTCCCCTGACCGACTTCTTTTGCCTATATATGTCCATATACCCTAAAAACACCAGAGAACACAATAGATCGGGCGTTCCGCCGCCTGAAGCCTCTGTAGCCACCGAAAACCAATTAGACCCATTCCAACACCCTGCCGGAGGGGGGTCCGGCCCTCTCCGGTGTTCATCTTCATCATCTCTCTCTCTCTCTCTCTCTCTCTCTCTCTCTCTCTCTCTCCCTCGTGTTCTTGAGTCGGCACGATCTTGATGTATCGCGAGCTTTGCTGTTATATTTGGATCTTATGATGTTTCTCCCCCTCTACTCTCTTGTGATGAATTGAATTTTCCCTTTGAAGTTATCTTATCGGATTGAGTCTCTAAGGATTTGAGAACACTTGATGTATGTCTTGCATGTGCTTATCTGTGGTGACAATGGGATATCACGTGATCCACTTGATGTATGTTTTGGTGATCAACTTGCGAGTTCCGTGACCTCGTGAACTTATGCATTAGGGTTGGCACACGTTTTCGTCTTGACTCCCCGGTAGAATCTTTGGGGCACTCTTTGAAGTTCTTTGTGTTTGTTTCATAGATGAATCTGAGATTGTGTGATGCATATCGTATAATCATACCCACGGATACTTGAAGTGACATTGGAGTATCTAGGTGACATTAGGGTTTTGGTTGATTTGTGTCTTAAGGTGTTAATCTAGTACGAACTCTACGATAGATCGAACGGAAAGAATAGCTTCGTGTTATTTTACTACGGACTCGTGAATAGATCGATCAGCAAGGATAATTTTGAGGTGGTTTCGTACCCTACCATAATCTCTTCGTTTGTTCTCTGCTATTAGTGACTTTAGAGTGACTCTTTGTTGCATGATTAGGGATAGTTATATGATCCAATTATGTTATTATTGTTGAGAGAACTTGCACTAGTGAAAGTATGAACCCTAGGCCTTGTTTCAACGAATTGCAATACCGTTTGTGCTCACTTTTATCATTAGTTACCTGGCTGTTTTTATATTTTTCAGATTACAAAAACCTATATCTACCATCCATATTGCACTTGTATCACCATCTCTTCGCCGAACTAGTGCACCTATACAATTTACCATTGTATTGGGTGTTGGGGACACAAGAGACTCTTTGTTATTTGGTTGCAGGGTTGTTTGAGAGAGACCATCTTCATCCTACACCTCCCACGGATTGATAAACCTTAGGTCATCCACTTGAGAGAAATTTGTTGCTGTCCTACAAACCTCTGCACTTGGAGGCCCAACAACATCTACAAGAAGAAGATTGTGTAGTAGACATCGGACTTTCACCCGACCGGATTTGTAGTATGCAGTACAGCAGGTGTGCTTACACATGCATGCTCCACGCGACAGTCACTGGAACCTGGTGAAGCGGATTCTGCGTTACATTTGCGGCACCATGTCCCTTGGGCTCTCCTTGACAGCATCCTCCTCCACCGACATGGTCGCCTACTCTCATGCGGACTAGGCTGGCTGTCCGGACACACGTCAGTCCACCTCCGACTACTGCATTTACCTCGGGCCATCCCTCGTCTCCTGCTCGTCGAAAAGACAACCTCCACTCTCTCGTTCCAGTGCTAAGGCAGAGTACCAATGCCATTGTTGAGTGTTTTTTATTACGGCAACCTCTTCAGGAGCTCCATCACGACCTTTCACATGCCACTCTTGTGTACTGTGACAACGTCTCGGCTGTTTACCTCTCCGCCAACCCCGTTCATCATCGCCGCACGAAGCACATCGAGCTCGACATACACTTCGTGCGTGAGCAGGTGGCTCTTGGCCACATTCATGTGTTACACATTCCTACGGCTCAACAGTTTGCCGATATCATGATCAAGGGGTTATCGACGTCAACCTTCGAGGAGTTCTGGTCC